CATGTGCTACAGCCTCTAGCTTCTCACATCGGTCTTGGGGATTCAAACTCACTTCCTCACACCTGCATGGCAAGCTCTAAACTGACTGAGCCATCTGGAAAGTCCCCATCTTGATATCTTGATTACTGAAGCAGAGTTCAATAAATGTTTGTTTCAGCTGGTGACTCCCGGGTAGCTTCCTCACCCATCTCCCAGCACTGGGATGCCACGCCCACACTATGCCCAGCTTTCACATGGCATAGAGGACCACAGTGTAGGCCTTAAGGCTGTGTGGCAAGTATTTTACCAACTGAGCTGTCTCCGGGGCTTCTCAGAAATATAATTTCTTTCTCAAATAGTTTTGTAATGTTTCTATCATTGGGACAGTACAAGGTGGACTATTGTTTAGTCAGAAAAAAAAAAAAAAAAAAAGAGTAGTACACACCAGTTTCTCATGTACCTTAGGGGCAAACTGGCTTCCGTGGCTTCAACAGGCTGTATATGACCCTATTAGGAGATGTTTCAAAGGCGTTTCTTAGCATTTTGAAGAAAATATTTGTGCTCCCTACTGAAAATAGTTTAATATCACGTCCCAAAGGAATTCTGTCTGCCTCATAAAGTTGCTTTTAGAGTTTTCAGCTTTTGGCATTCCTCTTGCAAATGCTGTCTCCAAATTCAAATTGGAACTATGTTGTAGTTACCTCCTTAAATAGGAGACTTTTACCTAAATCTTCCATTAGAGAATATTCTACTATATCAAAGCAATCTTCAAATCTAAAATTATATTCCCAGCTCTTTACTGTTTTCTAAGCAGCTTAGTTTCCCTTTGTATGTGTTCAGACATGCGCTCTCCTGATTTCATCTGCTTGCTAATCAGAGGGGTCATGTTCCCTGACTCTCAAAAGTGTGCCCTCAGATTTCAGCTGCCCGCCCGGCTCACCAGCTGTGCAGCAAAACACTCACCTACCACAGTGGTTATAACCCACTGCTTTGTAACATAGGATCACAGTAGCAACCCCCAAACACAATAACTGTGGTGAATGCACGAGAGGGTGAACATGCAACCTGCAGGATGGCACCAACGTGTGGAATGGGCACAAGAACTGTCAACAACTCTTACCTTAATTACTGATTTGGATCTCATTAAGGAAATCACATTTTTTCTCTCTCTTTTTGTTTTGCCTGTACTGACATCACTTTTTTGTTTTGTTTTGTTTTGTTTTGTTGTTTTTCGAAACAGGGTTTTTCTGTGTAGCTTTGGAGCCTATCCTGGCATTTGCTCTGGAGACCAGGCTGGCCTCGAACTCACAGAGATCCCTCTGCCTCTGCCTCCCAAGTGCTGGGATTAAAGGCATGCACCACAACGCCAGGCTCTGACATCACTTTTTAAATTTTATAAACTTTATCATAAAATGTCTTATAAACAAATAAAAAACATCACACACTAAAAATAACCAGACCAAAAGTCTTTACAACTCAATCACCTTCCATACAGTTCAAACAGGCACTTAGAACAGAAGCTGTGGGGCTTCACACTATCTTTTACACCTTTTCTTAAAACCCTGTCTTAGACTTTGTTTTCTGTTGTGGATAAGCACATAAAGTATACTGGGTACATTTTTTTTTTAAATAACACCCTGCTTTTACTTAATCAGACATAGTAGAAATAGTGACAGAGCCCAAATGTCATCTTAAGAGCAAACTCCTGTTAATGCATTATCTGGTGAGAGCCATTCATGTTGATGGTAATCTAAGCATGTTAGACTCTAAAGTGGAACTAGACAGTGTCAGTCAGAGCTGGTTGCTATGCAGTATAATGTCAAATGTGACCCATAACATTCTCTGGATAAGTGCATGGTTATGGTATATTATGAACTTGAGCACTTCTTTCCATGCATTAACAATTCATTAAGGTTGGTAAATAAAAATAAGATGGATATATTGCAGTTAAGCATGTTTGACTTTTTTGACCCTCTGACTAATTCAGAGATTTCATTCATCATACATTTCATTCATGTATATCACAGCTGATGTACATGAAAAGGAGCAGGAACCACCAGATTTCTGGTCTTTCCTGGGCCACGTCCATCACTGTCTAGCATACAGCGTTGTCTCCCAGCTTACACCAACCAATCTTTTCTCTCCCTTCCTGCCTCCATTAGCTGATTCATTTCGATGTCTTTATTTATGTTTAGACACTTCCTTTCCTAGGCCATCCTCTTCTAACAACTCCATGGAGAGTTTTCTTGTCAAGGCCACTCAATACTTTGCCAAATTCCAACTCGTTCTTCACCTTTGGCTCAGCTGTTGCTGAGTCCTACTACAATGACCTCTCTCTCTCTCTCTCTCTCTCTCTCTCTCTCTCTCTCTCTCTCTCTCTCTCTCTCTCTCTCAGTCTCTGTGTCTGTCTCTCTCCCATTTTCACCTTTGTTCAGGCCTTTGATTTATCTTTATATACAGATGACCTAAAATCTCCAACATTGACATTTCCATGAACTTTAGAAATGTACAATACAACTGCTAATGCCTTATGTCTAACTAAATACAAAAATTTACAAAGGAATATCAAAGTTACCTTGTCCATAACAATGACTCTGTTTGGGGAATATTTCCTCCTAAAGTTTTCTCTATCTCAGAAAAAAACGAATATATACTGGTATCTTTGTCAACAGACCAAATTGACCACTTTGGAGTTAACCTTAAATTTTACTTTACTTTTATATTTTACATTTTTATCAATAATCACCATCCCTACTTCCTAGATATATACATAAGTACTCCCTACCATCCTAGCAGCTATTACAGTTTGAGCCCGTGCCATGGTCTCCTTTCACAGAGAAAGCTGTGGAAATAGCTTCTAGATTTCTTCCTATTGGCCTAAATAATACCAAGACTCTTGTTACTGCTAATTAACTGTGTTATGGTTCTTGAATGTTTCTCTGTCACATCGAGAAAGAACACAGGCAAGTCATCAGCATCTGAATACCAGGAAGTCCCAATAATTATACTTTGGGAAAAGACATAGGTGGAATTTTGATGTGACTTTTGCATGTAGGTAAAAGGTGAGATCATGATACACTTTGGGGTCTTGATTCGCTGATTGGTTAGGTGCACCCAGAGGGATGCTGAGTGAGACTTAATGGCCCATGAGCTAGTTAGGAGACCCTCCAGTCCCACTGATTGAAGCAGGCACTGTTCTGGAGGCTGTGAAAAACTTATGTAGGCACATGGGATAAATGATATACCTTTTGTCTTTCAGTTCTGGGAATCAAACCTAGGGCCTAAAAACTATTGGACACATCATACTCTGCCACCACTGAGCAATAGCCTCATGACACATGACATCCCTTTGTGTATGCTCACACAGGTTTGTGTGCATTGTGTGTTCCTCTGTGTGTGTGTGTGTGTGTGTGTGTGTGTGTGTGTGTGTTTGTGTGTGTGTGTGTGTGTGTGTGTGTACATGTGGAGGTCAGAGATCAATCTTGGGTTATAGTTCCTTAGGAAACAGCCACCCTAGTTTTTCAGATAAGGTATCTCATTGGTTGGCTTGGTGCAGGCTGATTAGTCTGGCACACTACCGATTAGTGTAGGCTGATCTGCTAGTGAGCCCCAAGGATATGCATGTTTCTACCTCCCCAGTGCTGAGATCACAGGTGTGGTCTTATGTCCAGCTTTTTTATACATTTTACACATATAAACACAAGTCTATTTTTATCAGTCTACATTTATGGCTGTCTGGGCTTAACCTTTTGAGATTGAGAAAACATTCAGAAAACCTCTTTTGAGCCCATGAAGTTAACTGCTGGGAGGAAAGCCAGGGTGAGCTTGACGCCAGTGTCATCTTTTCTAGGACTCAATTTCCTATTGCAAAGCAAGAGACTTACTAAGCTTTCTGGAATGACCTCGCCATCCGAATATTCATGCACAAGTGTCTTGTTCTCCTCCTTATTTCTCTGGGTCTCCTTTAGAATTTCTCTTTAGAAAAACCAGGCGATATTCCTGGGCACATTTTAACTCCACAATTAGTCATGGATGTGGTGATTCATCAGGTTGGCTTGTAAAGCAAAGCCAGCCTTGCCCTTCCTAAGCATCAACTGCTGGCAAGTCTCTTTCCTCCTCTGAATCAGATGTGTATTTGTTTGAGTAATCAAGAAAGAACTGTCTGTCTTGTGACCTTAGAAGTTGGTGAAAGGGAGCAACTGAGTGTTTTTGGCATAGGAAAGTTAGCAAGACAATGCAAATCTGTAAAGCAGAAAGCCTTTCTGCTGGCTGCTTCCTCCGGGTAGACGTGAATGTCACACAAGCCTCTGATTGCCAGCAGGCTTTTTCATCCTCGAAGAAAACTATTTTAATATAAGCAAAAGTGGATTTCAGATCTTATAAAAAGCCATTCTCAAACGCTGTCTGTGCTCATTTGTTAAGTGCACTGTCTTATATGAGGAGCAGCAGGTCATTGCCAAATGAGCATTTTGAATCCTACTGTGATAATAGTCAGTTAAGAGGCAGCTTCACAGCATGGCTACCATGGGGAAAGCACACCCTATAACCCAGATAGGAATGAATGAATCAGACCAATGCAAATTAGGTGAGGCATTGAGAGAGCAGAGAGATGGTGGCTGAAGCCATTTCAAAGACAAGTGAAGGCTGACATCCAGGGAGCCCAAGAACTTTGAATGAGATGACAGATCTGATGACAATAGAGCAAAGAGAATCTTGCAAAAGCAAGGATTCACTTGACAATGAATTCCCTCCTTCTGTCAGTTAACCAACGGGTTATCAAAGGCATCATTTGAAGAAAGCTCAAAGGTTGAATTTTAAGGATGTTTTACTGTATTAGTTACAAGATGCTTTGCCTCTCATATACATACAAACAGAGAGAAACACGTGCACACACACACACAGAGAGAGAGAGAGAGAGAGAGAGAAAGAGAGAGAGAGAGAGAGAATTTTTATCCTTACAGATGTGTAGAATATCATGAAAAGATCAAATAGAGGGAACCAGATAAGCAGACCCCTCTCACCTTGGATAGATATCTTCTGATTTGGTGCCTTTTATTTTGAAATCTCTAAAACAAATCTCTACTTCTTTTTCCTTCCTGGGGAAGTCAGCTCCATGATTACACGCCTTCTTCTTTAACTCCTCTTCTCTGTGGGCAAATCTTGAGCTGTTTACAAAAAAAAAAGAAAAAAAAAGGATGATTGGTTGCCTATATTGAACCAGATGAAGTCACTGCATGAATAGCTCATGTTCAGTGTTCACTAGGTAAAGCATAGGGTGCCTAGGTGCATGATAGGCTGACTTTAAAACCATTGGCTGGCTGTTTTCTCTACTCTGCGGTTGGTTTTTTGTTTTAAAAGATGCTTGCTTTGGGGCAATAAATGATTCCTGCTTGACTAGACTCCCTGCTGCATCTGATTGTCTCTGGGATTCTAGGAGGCTGGGGAATGGGTGAGCAGAGTACTTACCCTTCCTTGGACCCAGCTCAGCCTTTCCTGGTTGGGCTAAGACACTGCACTTCCCAAGTGATCCTACTCTAGCTATGACTCAGGGTTGCTTATGTGTGTCACTCTGATGTCTTCCTAAAGGAAATCTATTTTGAAAGTAAGGTCTCTCATAAAAAAAAACAAGATAATGCACTATGCAAATATGAAAATATGGGCAATATTGGACAACACACTATCAAATCAACAATGGGTTTTCTTACCACAGAGTGATTTATTGGATAAAACATATGGATGACTACTGGTTTGGATTAAATTCCTACATTGACCAAGAAGATCAGCCTACTCTGGAATAGTGTACATACACCTTCGAGATAACCTCGTTGAAAGAGCCACTTTTCAAAATAAACAAGCAACCCCAGGGCTTTCTAGCATCCAATCGGAGGAGGATTACAGCCAGCCACGAGTGTAAGACACTCCCCTCTTTACCAACCTGAAAAAGAAAACAATTGCTCCTGGTTCTGCTTCTTTCAGCCTTTTTCTGCCAAAAGACTTCCTCAGCTGAGCTCATTGGAACACCTACATCTCCCGGAAGGGGTGAGCCTAACTCATGAGCAGAAGAGATTCTCAACTAAATTCAAGAAATGTCAAACTAAGATTTTTTAAATAATTACATTCAGGAGTACTGTTTGAGTGGGTACTTAGGAATTCCTCATGGAAAAGAAAACACAAACAGCCAATATGCCAGGAACAGAAGTTAATGTTATAAAAGAAACAAACAAAAATCAAGTTCCTTTCTACTTGCCAACACGGGAGAATCTCTTTTGCCCCAGCCTCCTGTTCCTATGAGAACATGGCAGCCCCAGCTCTAGCCACCAGACAGTCTGTCTCTGTGGGGACTGCCTGGAGAAAACCTGGGACTCTTTGACTCTGTGACTCTCTGCCTGGGGCCTACTACTCTGACCATCTTATTGGGGGCAGCGCTGCTGGAGGTCAATACAGCTGCCACTTAAAGAACACATTCTTCCTTTTATAAGGTGACTGACTGAACACCTATATTTCAATAGCTTCTGAGTTCAGATAGAAAAGAGGATATTTATTTATGAATTCTGCTAAGGCTCTTACTAGAGAATGGAAAGAAGTCTGCCTAAGTATCCATTACACAGATCCATTAAATAGAATCTGTTTTCTGGAGAAGATAAATCAATTTTCAAAAATATATTTGCTTGTGCTGGTGTGTGAGGAAGACCAAGCATAGAGGGAGCACAGGGCTCCACTGCGTGAGTATTGCCCAACCAGAGGAGAACTAGCACTTCCCAGAAAACCCCCAAAGAAGAAAAGAATTTTGAATTATTTTCCTCCCACTCCTGTGCACAGTGGGCATTAAGAAGCAGAGGTAGACTAGCTAGGTGCACAAGAAGTAGATGTTCATGCATGCCACACTGAAATGTAGTACACAAGGCCACCGTTTGACTGCCAAAACAGGAAACAAGTGCCAACCCAAAAAGAGCGGCACCCAATGGGGTCAGTGGAGACAACTGCTCACTGTCCTTCGCTTAAAGATAATGGCATCTCCACATCACTAGCCTTTCAGAATTGCTACTCCCATGATGCATCCAATGCCATGATACCCAGAAAACCCAACACAAAGACAAGGGGAGTAGACCCCATTCTGGTGAAATTCTGACCCATTCTTGGAATTCTTGCCCATTTTACTGTTTTAACTCTATTAAATTCACTCTCAAAACATCCTAGTAGTCTCCCAAAAATATCCCAGTAGTATCTCCAAATCCCAGTAGTCTCCCCACAAAATCCCTGTGTTGTCTCTCTTTTGGCAAACCCGAACTCACCTCATGAGTGTTAAAAACATCCAATGCTTAGATGTCCTAATCTCTGAAATTTCTCCCTGATGGGAGAAGAATCTAAGAAGAAATCTCAGGATGCTCTGTCTCTAAGACCTCCCAAGCCATCATCACCAGAAAGAAGATTCTACACTATGAGTAATTGATTCCAAGATCTAAATCAGAACCAATTGCTCCATCCACATCATGAGCAATGCAATGAGGCTACGCTTGAAAAAGTTCCCGGTGATCCGCAGAAGGGAAGGTTCTCTATGGAAACAAGAGTTTCCTTTCAGAGAAGAGTAGGCAAAGAAGAGGACTAATACAAGACCTAGAGGATCCTGACAGCCACATATTTGTGTGTATCTGCACACATGAACAGGCACACACACACACACACACACACACACACACACACACACACACACACACACACACACACACGGCAAGTGACAGATTCAAATTTTTCCATAGGTTTTGTGGTAAGCATGAATCTTCCTATCCTAACCCATAGAAGTGGCTAGTTCTGACTTGGCTCCTCTTGAGGGCTCTCTCCAACTCCCTAATCTCCCATTCCTCAGTAGTCTTCCATGATTTCCTCCCAAATTTGGAGTTGGTCTACGTTTAAACACTTTGATCTCTGTAGACAGACTTGTGTTTGAAAACCATCTCACCAATATAGTATTTCAGTTATTTTGTCAGTCTCTCCTTACCTTAGTGTTTCTTTGGGTACTATCTGGTAAACAACAGTACACATTCATAGGCTTGCTGGGAACAGGAACTAGCTAAAATAACATGCACAGTACCATTGGCACACTAAAAGCACACGGTAAAGGGTAGTTATGATTAGTGGGCCAGTCTTTCTCGTGCTCTAGCACAATCCCACCTCCTGAATCTCAAATGCATGTCTGGGTCTGTTTTAGCACAGGCTATGAGCTGGAACTTTAGTGTCCAATGCCTTGTGAGCACCATGAAGCCCCATGTGTGTTTGTTGAATCACTTTAAGGAGCAAGCCTACTCACTTCACCACCACAAGTGATCTGTGGTCAAACTTGGGAGACTGCATGCTAGAGAAGAAACTGCCCAAGAAGAACTGTCACTGCCTAGTCCTTTAAAACATCTAAAATAGCAGAGCCTGCGATCTCCCTAAGGACAGCCTGCTAGCAACACTCCCGATAAATCAAATGTGCTCCTCTTCTTTAAAATAGAAGCCTATCACTGAATGTCTTGTATCGGTGGAGAGAGAAGACTTCTGCTTTGTGTAAAATGGCCTTGCATGCATGCAGGCATTTGCATCAGCTGGGCTTCCACTCTTCTTTTAGTGAAGCAAAACTACTTCCTTAACCTTTTAAAAGTCTTTGTTGTCACATGCTCTAATAATTGCAGTTCTGTAAAATATAGTCACAAAGAATGAAAATAGTTCACCAAATACTTAAATCTCAGAGTGAAGGATGACCATCTAAAAATAGCCTAATATTTCTGAAGCGTTACAGCAAAAGCATTTAATCCAAATGTGCTAGTTAGTCTTTCTTAATAAAAATACTTTCCCAAGTGGTTAAAACATTCATGAAAGTGAATATTTTAATAACCTTAAAATTTTTGTGTGTTTTGACATACATACTAGCTACACTTCTAAAGATAAGGCCTAAGAATTATCAGTAATTTTATCATAATATGATGTGAGACAGTAAGAAGCTGGAGACAGCCTGAATTTTAGCATTAGGGAAAAGACTGTAAGGTGATTTGTCTCAGAAAAACTCTTCTAGAAGAACCCATAAACAGGAATTACATCTACAAATTTTGAATATACACATAAAATAATATTTTAAACATTATTTCCAGTATGATTAAAATATTCATGATATAACAGAAATTTTAAGTAAATTATCAAATTGAATATTAAAAAAGACTTATGAGATTTTTTTTCTTTTTGAGACAGGGTTTCTCTGTGGTTTTGGAGGCTGTCCTGGAACTAGCTCTTGTAGACCAGGCTGGTCTTGAACTCACTGAGATCCACCTGCCTCTGCCTCCTGAGTGATGGGATTAAAGGCGTGCGCCACCATCACCCTACTGACTTATGAGATTTTAAAATAATATTTCAATAAATATACTGTTGTAGGCATTTGCCACGTATGTGATTTTGTATGGTGTAAGATTAAAGTTTGGTAGTCTGTACTGCACTGATACCCAGTAAAATCCAGACTTGCTGAAAAGCCTTGCTACTCTGCTTTGGTCCCAAGGTCCCAAACCTGGACAACCCTCCGTATCACAGGCATCAGACACAATATGTGCTGATCCCTGGAGAATCAGCAGTTTCAGAATCCAGAAGAATCTCTGCTTCAGTTCTCAGACATCCCGTCGGACAATCAAATGTATTGATCCCAGCCTCTTGTAAGAATGAATACCACGTCTCTTTCGGGACTACAAAGCCTGCCTTCCACATCTCCTACTTGCTCACTTTGTTTGCAGGTGCAGCCCACCACATGGGTTCTGTGGGGGTGCTGGAGCCCTTCACCAAGCTCTTCTCTGTTCCCAGTTATTCTTTAAACTGCTGTTATTTTGAGTCTTCCCAAAGCAGACGTGACAGGAATCCCACTGTCACCAATGAGAAGACAAGAAGGCCACCAGAAAACGCTCTAAGCCAGTAAATACCCTCTTTATATTTGATGAGCTTCTCGCCAAAATAAAAAGCATCACAGTTCGAGGACATCTTCCTTGCCTGGCTTCAGAAAGTGTGTTCAAGAGAACAAGATCCCTGTGTGTGCAGCTCCAGCAGGAGACAGTCAACTCCCACTGTCTTCAGGACTGTGCTGCGAAGGTATTGGGTGGTAGTGGTTTTACTGAGGTGGTGAGTTATTTTATTTCGCCCCCTAGATCGTGGTAGAAACACATTTGTGAAGGCTGTGGTGCCCTAATGGAAATTCGGTGGCTCTTCTGACTAGACACTGTTTGGGACAAGGAAGCTTTTCACTCTGGAACTTTGACCTACCGGGAAGGCCAATATGCATTTCTGGATTCCAGGCCATATGTGAAGTAGTGTGAATTGATTCTGTTATTTACAGTTTGGTACTCAGAAGATCACCAATGATATCAGAAATAGCAAGCATTTAGACTCACGGAAAGAGGAATCTTCTATTATCTGCCCAGCTTCTGTCCGAGAGTGTGGAGCATAAACTTTTTTCCCAAGCACATGTGAAGAATGGCAAAACAGTAAGTTGAGGCTTAACTTGAGTGATTCTCAACCTTTGGGTCATGATCCCTTTTCGAAACTTCTATCTCCAAAAATA